GAAGGAATCCCACTGGAGCCTTGCAGCGCACCCAAATACCTGGGAGTCACTCTGGACCGTGCTCTGACCTACAAGAAGCACTGCCTGAACATCAAGCAAAAAGTGGGTGCTAGAAACAATATCATACGAAAGCTGACTGGCACAACCTGGGGATCACAACCAGACACAGTGAAGACACCTGCCCTTGCTGCTGAGTATGCATGCCCAGTGTGTATGCTCCCTGTACACCACTCTGGTGAGCAATCTGGCTGCTGACCATTGGACTAATTGAAGCTTCTGGGCAGTCTTCAAAGGCAGCCCCATGTAGAGCACATTGCAGTAGTCTAATCGGGATGTCGAATCTAGTCTAATCTGCCCTTGCGCTATGCTGTTCTGCTGCTGAGTATGCATGCCCAGTGTGGAACACATCTCACCACACTAAAACAGTGGATGTGGCTCTTAATGAGACATGTCACATTATCACGGGGTGTCTGCGCCCTACACCACTGGAGAAATTACACTGTTAGCTGGTATTGCACCACCTGACATCCGCCGGGAAGTAGCAGCCAATAGTGAAAGGACCAACGCAGTGACATCTCCAACTGATCCCTTGTTTGGGTTTCAGCCAACACATCAATGACTTAAATCAAGAAATAGTTTTCTAAGATCTACAGAGACACTCACCAGAACACCTCAGCAAGCGAGAGTCCAAAAGTGGCAGGCTCAAACCCAGAACCTCAATCCAATGGCTGATACCAAATGAGAGACTCCCCACTGGGCACACAGAAAACTGGGCGACTTGGAAGGCGCTGAACAGACTGCGCTCTGGCACCACGAGATGCAGAGCCAACCTTAAGAAATGGGGCTACAAAGTGGAATCCACGACATGCGAGTGTGGAGAAGAGCAAACCACTAGACCACCTGCTGCAATGCAACCTGAGCCCTGCCACATGCACAATGGAGGACCTCCTTGCAGCAACACCAGAGGCACTCCAAGTGGCCAGCTACTGGTCAAAGGACATTTAATCAACTACCAAGCTTGCAAACTTTGTGTTTTTGTTTGTTTGTTTGTTAAAAATGCATTACAATTGTTTGGTTTGCTCCTGACGGAATAAATAAATAAATACCACGATTATCATCTCTATTGAGATCCTGTCTTTCGATTTGGAATTTTGACTCGAGACCACATCAATCAGCATTTCTCAACCTGGCGGTCAGGACCATATATTTCTTATGGTCTTAGGAACCCCTTTGGTAGAGAAGGCTGAAGATCTCTCCAACTGTCCTTCTCTTCCTTTTTGGAAACACACAGTGAATACTCCCACCAAAAGCCCTCCTCCTGCTGTGATTGGCCGGCCTCTCAGCCAAGGGAAGGGCTGTTTCTGAGACTCCAAGCAGGGAGGGGAGAGCAGGCGTGGTGTGCGTGTTCGGGCAAGGGAGAGCATGTGAGGCTGGAGGGAGGCTCATGCCAGCGAGTCCCTTCAAGGCATGGAGGGTCTGTGTAGGAAGTTTGGCTCAATTCTATCATTAGTGGGTTTCAGAATACTCTTTGTTTGTATGTGAACTATGCATCCCAGCAACTACACCTACACAATCAATTCCCCTCCAACCTCACCAATATTTAAATTTGGGTGTACCGGGCATTTGTACCAAATTTGGTCCAGTGAATGAAAATACATTCTGCATATCAGATATTTACATTACAATTCACAACAGTAGCATGTTTGTGGAGGTGGGAGGTTGTCTGTGTAAGTGAACACCTCCACCACATACACACGTACACATTTTTCACTTTTATTAAGTACTAGCTTGGGGACCCGGTGGTGCCTGGGTTATTTGAGAAAGGCATTGTTTGTCTGTGCTCCAAGTTTAGTCTAGATCCAATGTCAGCCGGGTTTAGTGGGTGTGGCTGAACTACAACTCCCATATGCAAGTCCCATGGCCCATTCTCCTCCAAACCGCACCAGGATTCATAGTGGGTTATGGGGGCTCTGTGTGCCAAGTTTTGTCGTGAACCATAATTATTGGGGGTTGCAGTGGTCTCAGGAAGTGAGTGAAGGTACTGCAAAGTCCCATCATCCGTGCTTCATCCTCCTTCAATCTGCACCAGGATGTAGAGTGGGTCATGGGGGCTCTGTGTGCCAAGTTTGGTCTTGATTTGTCATTGTCGGGGGCTGCCGTGGTCTGTGGATGTTGAAGCATTTGAAAGTACTGCAAATCCCATCATTCATGGTCCATCCTCCCCCAAACTGCACCAGGACATAACGTGAGTCATGGAGATTATGTGTGCCAAGTTTGGTCCAGGTCCGTCATTTGTGGGGGTCGCAGTGGCCTGTGAACGTGGCAGCCAATCAGAAAGCTGCCACATACATACATACACCTCCTGCCCGCCCTCCACCTACAAACACTGATATCTATTTTATATATAGATATAGATAAGATAGAGATATATATAGAAGATAGAAGATTAATTATATTATTGTTATATTGCTATTTTTGTTGTTGTAATTATTATTCAGTTTAATGCGGCTCAATTATATTGTTCTTGTTGTTCTTGTTGTTGTCATAATTATATGTCAATGCACCTGAAGTGAGAGTCCTACACTGAATTTAAGACCCAGCGGATATACGCAACAGCAAGCCCTATTAGAGTCCAAGTAGCTTTCTTCCATACCACCATGCGTAGTGCTGGGGCAGCTCCAAAGCCACAAGGTGTTAAGAAGTCCTTTATGAGAAAGCAAGAAGGAAATAATGTCCCATGAATATATTCCACAGCCAACCGTGAAAGTTCTTCCCACGCAGCTTTCCTGCTGAGACATCATCTCCAGCAGTTTAACAGAGCCAAGGCACGCAGAGGCTCCACTCTTTTCTTATTGACCACACTCTCTGCACTCTATTATATACCACGTGGCCAGTCAATATGCATAATAGGATGGGAGAAAGTCCTGAGAGCCACAGAGAGCTGAATTGTGGAGGAGCCATCTCTTTCTCTTCTAGAGCAAAGGAACGTGGGAGTCAGATTGGTTTCAGTGTTGGGTTAAGACCAAGGTTGAAATCCATGCTTGGGTAAGGAAATCTATAGGGTGGTTCCTGGTCAAAGTGGTCCCTGATCAAAGTGTCAAAGTGGTCCCTGGTCAAGATGTGGTCAAGGTGGTCCCTGATCAAAGTGGTTCCTGGTCAAAGTGGTCCCTGGTCAAAGTAGTACCTTGTCAAAGTAGTCCCTGGTCAAAGTGGTCCCTGTTCATGTCCCTGGTTAAAGTGGTCCCTGGTCAAAGTGATTCCTGGTCAAAGTAGTAACTAGTCAAAGTGCTCCCTTGTCAAAGTAGCAACTGATTAAAGTAGTCCCTTGTCAAAGTGGTCCCTGGTCAAAGCAGTAACTGGTCAAAGTAGCCCCTTGTCAAAGGGACCACTGCTCAAGTTGTCCCTGTTCACGTGGTCCCTGGTCAAAGTGCTCCCTGTTCATATCCCTGGTTAAAGTGGTCCCTGGACAAAGTGGTCCCTGTTCATGTCCCTGGCTAAAGTGGTCCCTGATCAAAGTGCTCCCTTGTCAAAGTAGTAACTGGTCAAAGTGGCCCCTTGTCAAAAGGACTACTGCTCAAGCTGTCCCTGTTCACGTGGTCCCTGGTCAAAGTGGTCCCTGTTCATGTCCCTGGTTAAAGTGGTCCCTGGTCAAAGTAGTAACTAGTCAAAGTAGTAATTGGTCAATGTGCTTCCTTGTCAAAGTAGTAACTGGTCAAAGTAGTCCCTTGTCAAAGTTGTCCCTGTTCATGTGGTCCCTGGTCAAAATGGTCCCTGGTCAAAGTTGTATCTGGTTAAAGTGGTCCCTGGTCAAGTAGTCCCTGGTCAAAGTGGTCCCTGGTCATGTGGTCCCTATTCACGTGGTCCCTGGTCAAAGTGGTCCCTAGTCCAGTGGTCCCTGGTCAAAGTAGTAACTGGTCAAAGTGCTCCCTTGTCAAAGGGACTACTGATCAAGTTGTACATGTCCACGTGGTCCCTGGTCAAAGTGGTCCCTTGTCAAAGTAGTACCTGGTCAAAGTGGTCCCTGGTCAAGGTGGCCCCTGGTCAAGTAGTCCCTAGTCATGTGGTCCCTGATTAAGTGGTCCCTGGTCAAAGTGGTCCCTGGTCAAAGTGGTCCCTGGTCAAAAAGGCTGGGATCCACTGCTCTCTATGTTCTTTTTAAAAAGCAAAGTACATTCAAGTACTCAATTCTCCCTAACCTTCTGTTTGGATTGCTACAAAAATAAAACAGCTTGCATGACTATATACATCTATATAGATATATATAGAGAGCATGGTATACTGATTTGAGCAATGAACCCTCAAGACCAGGGCTCAATTTTCCACTTGACCGTGGAAACCCTCATAGGTTTGCCTTAAAGCTGAAAAACACAAAAGCATATATATCTGTGTGCACACCGACACATTGTGCCAGAGATCCCCCACTGGTTTCTATAGCAGCAGCGAAGTACATTTGTCTCAAAGCTCCCTTTGTAACCTTTCAGCCTTGGAAGCCAGACAGACGCATATATTCCCGGACCTCGGAAGAAAAGTGGCATCTGTGCCAAAGATGGGAACAGCAGGGTTGCGGTTGTGGACCTTTTACAACGAATTGGGTTATCCTTTTGCATTCCCAGCCATTCCAGGTAGTGTTTACCATTTGTCAAAGTCTTAATGGGAACACCTGGATCGCAGACACGGAGATCCCGGCAAGCACCGTTATGTTTCGGTGCCACCTCCATTGTGTCTTTTCTTTCCCCACCTTCATTGGTGTGCAAGTCCATGTGTACGTACGCCTTTTGAAAACCGCTTTCGGCTTCCCATTCATTGACTCGCTCATGCATCTGCCGAAGCACCATGGAAACACGCATGCAATGATCCCATTCTGACACCGCCGAACCGAGACAAAACTTCCAAACGGTGATGCACAAAACTAAACACATCTCAAGGTGTACACAAAAATGCACAAAAATCAAGACAACATTCCCCCTAATGTTCTCCTTTAGAAATATCCCTGTGCTTACCTCTTTGCCGTTGAATATGTTTTATCTCATCCTGCTTTGTCCCAGAGAGGATGCTTAACAAAGCCGTCTCCGCCTTGCGCTCCTTCTGCCTCTGGGAACGAAAGTGGGAAAAGTTCTCCCTTTCTGTGGCATCAGGCTGAGCCAGAGAAAGAGAGAGAGAAAGAGAGAGAGATGCTGGACAGTGTAAGGCAAACTGTGGTTAGAGCAAACCCCTTCTGCCGGTTTATATAGCCGAGCGCCGATCCTTAGCTCATTTCACTGTAATGGGATGCCTTCGAGGCACAGGGCTGGCTGTACTTTTTCGGTCCAGTCAATTAAAGGCACCGCTTTCCTCTGGATGTTGTATGTGCTCCCCCGGTGGGAAAGCCACTCATATTTATAGAAGCGCGGTGGGACAAAAGACATTTGCATGCAATTTATGGTGAAAGGAGGGTGAATATATATATATGTAAATAACACTCCTCTTGTCATCACCACTGGGGAGAAAAGGGGGGGGGGTGAGAAAAGAAGTCAGCCAATGACTCAGAAAGGGAGAAGAGTTTTCTTCTTTCTCTCAAGGGTCTCGGCACAGTGCATTGTTCAGCCAGCGCATCACTTGTGTGTGGGTTAGCCATTCGTGGTTACCACCAACACCCCTAAAACACACCAGATTCCTCCGCCAGCCATTGCTCCCAGCCTTGAACTTGTGAAGTGTGCCATAACACACATGTGCGGGTGTGAATGGACTTCACAACATGCCTGAGCAGCATAGGATGCTTTGGGTGACAGCAGGGTGTCACAGAAAACAAAGGAAGATAAGGGTGCATCCAAAGGCAGCCCTAAGTAATTTTCAACGGTAAGCAAACAGTATTTCGGCGCCCTCCCCCCCAACCAATCACTGATATATATTTTCTGGTTGTTGTGGGAGTTCTGTGTGCCATATTTGGTTCAATTCTATCATTGGTGGAGTTCAGAATGCTCTTTGATTGTAGGTGAACTATACATCCCAGTAACTACAACTCGCATATGTCAAGGTCTATTTCCCCCTGAGAATGCCTCAAGAGCGCCCCTGGGCAAAATCAACTATACTGCAAAGGCTTAGTTTGTGTAATGGTTGCGTCGCCCCTGGGTGCATCTATGAGAGCGGGAAGCAAGCACATTGTTACACTATGCAACACAATTGTTGTTCCTGGGTTATCGATGTCATTTCCTAATTGGTTCTGTCATAAACACATGGGGAAAGTTTATTAATCTATCTATATAAATAAAAATGTAGTGTTTGTTTGTGGGATTAAAAGAACTCAAAAACCACTGGATGAATTGACACCAAATTTGGACACATGACACCTATTCACCCAAGGAGTGACCATCACTCAAAAAATTGATTTTGTCATTTGGGAGTTGTAGTTACTGGGATTTATAGTTAACCTACAATCAAAGAGCATTCTGAACTCCACCAATGATGGAATTGAACCAAACTTGGCACACAGTTCTCCCATGACCAACAGAAAATACTGGAAGGGTTTGGTGGGCAGTGTCCTTTGGTTTTGGAGTTGTAGTTCACCTACATCCAGAGAGCACTGTGGACTCAAACAATGATGGATCTGGACTAAACTCTACACGAATACTCAATATGCCCAAATGTGAACACTGGTGGAGTTTGGGGAAAATAGAATCTTGACATTTGGGAGTTGTAGTTGCTGGGATTTATAGTTCACCTACAATCACAGAGCATTCTGAACCCCACCAACAATAGAATTGGGCCAAACCTCTCACACAGAACCCCCATGAGCACCAGAGTGGACCACATCAATGCGTGGCAGGAGATGGCTAGTATATAAATTAAAATGTAATGTTCATTTGTGGGATTAACATAACTCAAAAAACCACTGGGAGAATTGGCACCAAATTTGGACACAACATACCTATCAGGCCAACGAGTGACCATCACTCATAAAAACACTGAAAACGCAGCAGAAAAGACTTAAAAAGCCAAAAACAAAAAATACATTACAACGCATGCGCAAAACCACATATATACATGCAAACACACACATATACACGCAAACACACATATATACACACATATATGCATATATAGACACACAAAACACATATATACAGAAAGGGGGAGGGATGGAAGGAAGGATGGAAGGAAGAAGGAAAGGAAGGAAAAGAAGGGAAGGAGAAAGAAGAGAAGGAAGGAAAGAAAGGTAGAAAAGGAAGGGGAGAGAAGAAATAAAAAAGTGAAAGAAGAAGGAAAGAAAGAGAGAGGGAAGGAAAGAGAAAGGAACGAAAGAGAGAAAGAGGGAGGGAAGGAAAGGAAGGAAAGAGACAAGAAAGGATGGAACCAAAAAGCAAAGGAAGCAGGAAAGAAACAGGTAGAGAAGGAAGAAAGAAGAAGGGAAAGAAAAAGAGGGAAGTAAGGAAAGAGGGAGGGAAGGAAGGAGAGGAAAAAAGAAGGAGAGAAAGAGGGAGGGAAAGTTGGCCACAGCAACATGTGGCGAGTACAGCTAGTCTATATAAATAAAAATGTAATGTTCGTTTGTGGGATTAACAGAAATCAAAAACCACTGGATAAATTGACACCAAATTTGGACACAAGACACCTATCAACCCAATGTATGTCCTTCACTTAAAAAATCACCACACTCTCTGGGGCAGAGAGTTCCACTGCTGAACAGCTCTCACAGTCAGGAAGTTCTTCCTAATGTTCAGATGGAATCTCCTTTCTTGTAGTTTGAAGCCATTGCTCCATTGTGTCCTAGTCTCCAGGGCAGCAGAAAACAAGCTTGCTCTCTCCTCCCTGTGATTTCCCCTCACATATTTATATAGGTAGGTGTATTTATCATATCATGTTTGGCATTAAATTGTTGCCTGTTTGGAAGCCATTCTGAGTCCCTCCTCGGAGGTAAATAATATAATATAATATAATATAATATAATATAATATAAAATATAAATAATATAAATAAAATATATATATTTTTAAAAAAGGTAAAGGTTGTCCCCTGACATTAAGTCCAGTCATGTCTGACTCTCGGGTGTGGTGCTCATCTCCATTTCTAAGCTGAAGAGCCGGCGTTGTCCATAGACACCTCCAAGGTCATGTGGCCGCCATGATTGCATGGAGCGCTGTTATATAAATAAATCTATATAAATAAAAATAAATCTATATAAATAAAAATGTAATGTTCGTTTGTGGGATTAACGGGGTATAAATAAAATAGTGGGGTATAAATAAAGTATTATTATTATTATTATTATTATTATTATTATTATTATTAACTTAACTCAAAAAAGCACTGGGCGAAATGACACCAAATTTGGACCACGATACATCTTTCAGGCCAATGAGTGACCATCACTAATAAAAACACTAAAAAACACAGTGGACAAGACTTAAAAAGCCAAAAAATAAAAAAATATGTCACGCAAAACCACATATATACACATATACACATACACACACACAAAACACATATACACAGACTGAGCCACAGAAACGTGTGGCAGTGGATGGCTAGTAAATAATATAAATAATATAAATAAATAATAAATATTTCAAGGCTGGGGATTGGATAACAGAGAGGCATTTCATTTGGGAAGTCGGTGAGCATTTCAGCCGACTTTTCCAATTTTCCACCGGCTTTTTATAAGTATTTTATAGGATGTCGGAATCACGATCATCTCCCCCATCTTCACATTCTGGTTGAATTGACAAGAGAGGCAAAGACTCGTTTTGTAGAACAGAACACCAAGCTTTGCTGTTTGAAACCTGCCAGTCTTTCATCCCCGGGAATGTTGAAGAGGAAACGGCCTTCTGAGACATCCCCTGATAGGCAGGTAGTCCTTGAAGTCTGACACATCGTATTGCCAGGAGACGTCTCGTGAAATGCGAGAAAACACTAGGATGAAATAAACCACAGACTCGGTCATTGATGGATGGCAGAGAAAAAAGAGGGAAGTGCCACGCGGCGCATGGGGAGTTTTAGCATCTCTTTAGTAGTCAGTTCTCTCCTTCATAATGTGTAAATTGTAAACACGCCCATGAACTTCATTTATTTATTATTTATTGATTTACAGTATTTATATTCCACTCTTCTCACCCCGCAGGGGACTCAGGGTGGATCACAATGCACATATACATGGCAAACATTCAGTGCCAATTAGACATATAACATATATAGACAGACACAGAGGCAATTTAACATTCCAGCTTTCTGGCTTCATGAGGGTATGCTCAATTCTGGCTCAATTCCGGCCACAGGGGGAGCCGTTGCTTCACTGTCCTTTGATGGAGTACTTCCTCATTCTTGTGCATACCACTGGAAAGTTTTATGGCATCGTAAATTAGTTAAATTAGCCTCCCCGCATAAAGCGGTACCTAAGTTTCCTATTTGACAGATGCAACTGTCTTTTGACAGCAAGCTATACTATTAATGATCGGAAGCTCACTCCGACCCGGGCTGGCTTCATGACCTCACGGTCAGTAGTGATTTAATACAGCTGGCTACTAACTACTGGGGTGTCATTTGGATTTTCTCTATGAAGACATTTTTGAGAGTGGTGCTCCATTATCACTGGATTTTATTTGGATTTTTGATGCTATTTGGATTTTCCTTTGGACTTCATGACTCATTGTCTGTTTACTTGTAAAGGTTTCTTCATTGAACTCATATCCCTGAAGCCTATATATATGGGGATCTATCAGTCTTAGAACTTTTATGTTTGAGAGCGGTTGCTCCTTTTCACTTCGTTCTAGGAGTTGCATGTGACGTCTGT